TACTTAGTAGTTTACCAGGTTCCCAGATTTTATTTGTTAATAGGGTGGCCAACCATGTGGCACACTCATTATCCAAACATGTATCTGCTATAGCAGGCAGATCGCTATGGAGGGACATCCCGCCTTCGTTTATTGAGCCCCTTGTGGCTAATACAAGCTGATTCATTTGGTTTTCAAAAAATAGACCAGAAATAAAATAATAATCTCGATAATAAACTTATTCAACTCTTTGGGAAGGGACTCACAATGGGATTGACAACAGATAAATCCTAATTCCCAAACATAATCAAAATTAATGTAATATTGATTATAGAAAATGTATACAACGTAAGTTTTTTGAAAGCAAAGTATACAACGTAAGTTAATTTTTTTTTTTTTTTTTGAAAATAACGTAAGTTAATTGATTGTTTTATGATTACGTTATTAGACATCTAATTCTAAATACACATAGTATTCATCTAGTAGAATACAAATATATTTGTCACGTTGTAATTAAACATTTAAACTAAAATAGTTAATAACATGTTATTAATGTAGTACACTTATCATCTATCCAACAGTTCTATTTTCTTGATAAACATAAGCGATCATCCATATCAATCTGCATGGCTTATAGAAGTTGGTGCTTGTTCCTGTAAACCGCGAGGAGAAGCACAACATTCTGAAATTTTTAACGACAATTTTCGGGGAAGACGAGGTTGACTTTACTTTTCCGGTGACATCATGGGCACACATCTCAGGCCTTTATCGTTTATTTAACTACTTTTGACTTCATAAATGGATCAGAATGTGAGATGCAACTAAGTCACGTCTCCGATCCAGTACTCTAATTTTGAATTTTTAAAAACCATGTTGAATAACAGTGAACTAACTTTCCTGTCGGCGGCGGCGGCGGATATGGGGGCAGGCGGTGGTGGGAAGCTGCTGGCATGGTAGGCGGGGTAGCTTTTGGCATTACCTCATGCATGGCTGGGAGTAATTTTAGAGAAGACATATAAGTTTACTAGTTTTTTAGGCGCATTGCGCCATTGGGATAATGCCCAATATATATATATATATATATATATATATATATATATATATATATATATATGGATGCACTCAGGTGCGAATAAGTGTTCAGGATGGAAATGCGAACGAATCAGCGCGCGACACGTGTCCAGATCTAATAACTTAAAAAAAATGCGGTGGTATTTTCGTAAATAATTGAACATTGAAGTGCAAGTAAAATCACTTACAAGTGCACCTACTTTCACCTATAAGTACATGTAATTTTGCCTTATTAGCATTCACTTTGCGCAAACATTCATGCACCTGGGTGTGCTTATAACTATATGTGCAACTATTTATAACTATAGGTGCAACTACTTATAACTATATGTGCACCTACTTTCACCTATAAGTGCATGTAATTTTGCCTTGTTAGCATTCACTTTCCGCAAACATTTATGCACCTGGGTGTGCTTATAACTATATGTGCAACTATTTATAACTATAGGTGCAACTACTTATAACTATAGGTGCACCTACTTTCACCTATAAGTGCATGTAATTTTGCCTTGTTAACATTTATTAATCTGAGTTCAGCGGGTAGTAATACCCCTGAAAACCACTTGCAAACATTCATACACCTAGGTGCAACTACTTATAACTATGTGTGCAACTACTTAGAACTATAGGTGCAACTAAGTATTGATGCTCAGTGTAAATTTTTACTTGCACCTATAATACATTTTACATGCACTTGTAATACATTTTACTTGCACTTCGATGTTCAATTATTTACGAAAATGCCACCGCATTTTTTAAAAAAATCAGTGTTTCTCATCCATTAGATCTGGACACGTGGACGAATAGAATTCATTCCTATTTCGCGCCTGGGCGAAGCATTCGCACCTGAGTGTGATTCTATATATATATATATATATATATATATATATATATATATATATATATATATATATTTAAATAAGTAGTTTAAAGTATATCAAGGCAAAATTATTTTGGAATTGTTCAGATAATTGAATGTTGAATTTGCGTATTTAAATATGTAATTCTAAGTTTACAAATGCAAGATAATATAGTCAAGATTGATTATAATTGTCAATAAAATAATTGTATAGGTATGGTTGAAACCAAATACGGGACGTAAGGGAGAGCAAATAAAAATTAGGGTATAAAATATTAAATATATACTAATATTGAAGAGCTAACTACTGATTGCCAAACAAGGACATTGTGAGGTAGTTTCACACTTCAATTTGTTGTGTGATTTGAATACTCTTTTTGTCAATAAATTTCTCCAGTAGTTAATATGATTGGCTTAATTATATATATTTTTTATTTTTTTTAAAAAACTATTATTATTATTATTATTATTATTATTATTATTATTATTATTATTATTATTATTATTATTATTATTATTAAATATATGTATACCCTTAAGTCATTTTACATGTAAATCTAAACAACTAATTTTCTCAAATATCTTTTACCAACTGTTGATATAATTCGCCGGTCAAATCCGCTAACGCTAACTGCTAACTGCTGATTGTCAAATATGGACATTGCGAGGTAATTCCAACTTCAATTTGTTGTGTGATTTGAATACTCTCTTTGTCAACAAATCCTTCAAGTAGTTAATATGATTGGCTTTATTAATTATAATTTTTTAATTTTTTCATGGTATTAATAAAATACTTGGTAAATAAATATATAACATTATTTTGTATTATAACTTTGATATTTAATTAAAAATAGTGCACAAAAAAAAGATAATAGACAATGTAGTGAATATAATCAATTGATGAATTTGAATGTAAAGATTTTTTACATTGGAGAAATATAAAGACAATATAACTAATAAAATTATTTCTCTTAATTAATTTATTGATAATGAATATTTTTTTAATAAAGACATTGTAGGGACAATGTAACGAATATAATCAATTGATGAATTTGAATGTAAATAATTTTTATATTAGAAAAAAATAAAGACAATATAATAATGAAATTATTTCTCTTATTTTATTTATTGATAATGAATAATTTTTTTAAAAAAAATAAAGACATTGTAGACACGTAATTCTAAATTAAAAAAAATGCATATGTATTATTTTTTGTTGTAGCTACTAAATTATTATTTAATTTAATAAGAGTAAAATAAAGTATTAATTATGCCAACTTTGATTGGGATGGGGTTCAAACCTACGACCTTTCTTATTGAAATCAATGGGTAAGTTAAATTAACAGAAATTAACGGAAAAGATAATATTTAACGGAAAAGTTAACGATAATCATATTCATTAAGGATAAATTAGGAAATCTTAAGGAAAAATTAAAATCTAATCAATCTGAGTCATTCATTTGATTAAAAAATGTGACCGTCATTTTTTCTACCCATTATAGGCCTAACTCTCTTGGGCTCTTATTAGTATAGTAGATAGATAGTAGATTTTTTATTTTGAATATAGAGTATTCAGTTGGTTAGATAAATTATTATTTTAGTGATAAAGAGAAATCCTACTAGGAAATTTATGTGTCACGAATTTCGTTGAGAGAGTATTAGTAAGAATCTAATTCTGTTTAGATACGAGAATCATGACCAATTATTATGTAGTGCGATGACACTTCTATTATCATTTAAAATGTGTGGTCTCTCCGGTAGTGGGGGTGAAAATCGTGTTTCACTCTCTTGGCAATATGATTTCTCCACTACCGGGGCGAACACCCATCTGGATTGATAATAGAGGTGTCATATCATTAGATAATAGTTGGTCATGATCAGGGACGGAGCCAGAAATTATGTTGAGGGGGGCTAAGAAGTAGGGACAAATTCAAAAAAAATTTCAAAGGCGATACATTAAAACAAAAGAGATAATTTTTTAAAAAAATTACCTAAGAAATATAGTTGTAAATATTGTTGGATATTGGCGAAAAATAAAACACATCGAAACTTTATAAAAATATTCATAACAAAATATGAAACATAATTAATTTGAATTAAAAACACTATAAAAATATGTTGATGCTAAAGGATTTGAACTATGAAACATAACTAAGTTGAATTAAAAACACTATAATTACACTATAAAAATATGTTGATTCTAAGATTTGAAGCCTAGACTTTTACAATTACCAAACATGTGCTCAACCAACTAATCTAACTCATTTGTGTTGACATTTAATAGTTTTTTTTTTGTACTAATAGTAAAACATGTACTATATATACATACAAAGATTATATATGGGGTGGGGTGGGGTGAGGGGAGGCAGCCGCCCCCCCTTTGGCTCCGTCCCTGGTCATGATTCTAGTGTGACTGATCCCTTTTTGTATGATTTGAAAGTTATTATATAGATTAATCTTTTCTATGAGCGATGTGCAAAAACATATGTCCAATATTTATCTTTTAAAAAATAATTAACAAATTTTTACTAATTAAAATCTAAATAAAATAAAACATAATACACATAAACACAAGTGTTAAAAAAAAAATGGTAACTGACGAAACAGTGTTAATTACGTCAATTGCCCACACAACTTATAAAAACGACGTCGTTTTAGGCCAAAGCACATAATACATTGTGTGCCCTGGTGCACAATATAATGATTGATGGCCTCGACCCATCATCTTTCAATACGCACGTTTCCATTCATGAGCCAACTTAATTACATGCTTAGTCCTCAACCTTTGTTTAGCCCTGTCACTTGTGCATCGAACGAGTTCGGGTGATTTGATTTTTAAAATGGTCTGCCGATTTAGTTCTTGGAATTTGATATTTTGAATTTGGTCGATTTAATATCGGATTTCGTTTATATTCAAATTTTAAAAAATATAAAATAAAAAAAAAACAAAACAAAAAAAAAAAAAAACAACTTAAAACAGTAAACTTAACTTTTTTTTTTGAATGCTACTAGCTCTATTACAAATTACATATTTACTAACTTATTATATGTTACAACTTATGAACTTACAAGTTCAGAAATTACAACAAAATGACAAATGTTCAAATTACACCTTACAAGTTACAACTTAGTGACTTACAAATGTCCAAACTGACAAACTCCATATGACCAAAATACCAAATGTTCAAGTGTCCAAATTCCAACATAAAAGTTACAAGTTACAAGTTCAGAAATTACAAGTCAAACAACTTCAGCAATCAAGATTCATGGCACTATGGCAGACAGGCACTTAGCAATCAGCATTCATATATCATCTTCCTGTGCAAAATTAAAACACAAGTTAAATATATGGTGATCAACAGAGAATGTGTAACACTATATATATAGAGTGAGAGCAGGTTTTATATAATATGTTGTCATGTCATAGCAGCAAACATGAATGATAAAGAAAGATATTTAATTAAGAAAAATAGTTCACAAAGTAATATTATCTGAGGTAGAAGTAGACTGCAGATTTTGAAGGAAGGTTCCAACTACTAAAATACAATATTTCAAGTATCAACACTTTCAGAAATATATGAATATAAATATATAGCAGATTGAAGTACGAGAGTGCACATCAACATTCAACAACTGAGGACACGTACCAATTACACATTTACACATACATATTGGAAGAATTCAATTGCCCAAATATCACACACTCAGATGCCTTTCAATCAATCTTTTTGATATATATATATATATATATATATATATATATATATATATATAGGTAGACTGTAAATATACCTTTTTTTTTTCTTTTGCTTTTATTCAACTATAAAGCTCCTCCTCCTTCTCCTCCTCATCATTATCATCATTATCATTATCATCATCATCATCATCACCATCCTGTCATGAACCATTGAAAAGATATTATTAGTACATGGTGAAACTAAATCAAGTTTGGAGAAAAAGGGGAGTGAAATAAAAAAGGCAATAGAGAAAGAATAGTGGCCGGAGAGAGACTAACCGATATAGTATTTTCCTCAATGACGACCATATTATCATTTCCATACTCATGTTGCTGTTCTTGAATTTCCTTTGCAGAATCCACCGCAGAACAAAGACACTCAGTCAATTCGATTGACTTTAAATTTAGAATTTCTGCAAAGTCAGCTGGGATCTTTACCAATTGAGGACACCTTATAAGAACTAGGCGCTCAAGATTTGGGAAATGACAGGCACTTGCTTCCCAATGCTTTAGACCATTGCGAAAAAGTTCCAAATAAATTAAGTGGTCAAAATTCTCATTCTCCAATAGTTCCCACTCTTCACCAATGATGTCACAATTGTTTAACCTTAGTACCTCAAGTTTAGGCCACTTGCTAAGAATATTAATTGCCTTCCACTCAAATCTCAAGTAGGAAAACCTCAACCTCATAAGGTTTTTCAAGCAAACAAGGTGGTTATTATTTGGAATCACCAACCGAGGCCCAATAAATAGATGACAAAGATGCAGACTCTGGAGCTGGTGTGAATAGGCAATGTTATTAATGCAATCATCACTCCAAAAACCATCTCCAAATACAATCCCTACCTTCTTTAGGTATGGAATATTTTTAAATAATTCTTTTGTGCATTGATGAAGAAACAACCCAAAAATGCTCTTCAAGTTTTGATGAAAAAATATGGGAAAATCACGCAGACCTTTGTAACTATCTAAATGTTGTAGTTGTGGAAACTCTAAAATGCTCGTTTTATTAATCCAATCAACTGAAAGTGTTTGAAGATTCCAACTACGAAATGGATCTAAAATGGTAATAGGTTTCCAGAATGACCATACGAATCTCAAATGGACAAGATAAGCAATCTCACGGTCAGCACGATAGAGTACTCTTACTAGGGGGCTAAGTTTTGAATATGAAGATGTTTGGTATCCGGAAAAATTGAAGATGGATCGACAGTTTATTAAAGAAGAATATAATCTTTCTTCGTTTAACCTTCTTGATTGGATGCTTACCCATCGAAAATCTTTCTTAGGGAAATTGGACCCACTTTCATAGACAACAAACAGAAGGTTATCCTTTGTAGCTTCCCTTACACAAAAAGAATGCAATAAATCATGCATTTTAAATGTCTTTATTCTTTTTCCCCATTTACTTGGCCGACTTACCAGAATTAGGTTCCTATCCTTGAGTTCTTGAATATGCCTTCTAGCCACCGCTTCAAAGCTCATATCCTTGGATGCCTTTACAAGTCCTTCGGCAACCCATAATTTTACAATTTCTTTAACATGAATCTCCCTATCTTCTGGAAATATGCTCAAATATAAAAAACAAGCCTTCAAACTATGAGGCAAGTGATTGTAACTGGATGAGAGTATCCTTGAGCATTCTTCATCAATTGTTGTTGTTGTTGCAGATGAATTTAGAGCTTCTACGACATTCTTCCACTCATCTAGCGTATGAAGTTTGGAAAATAAACCTGCAGCAACAACAATTGCCAAAGGCAATCCTTTGCATTTCTCAACAATCTGTCTCCCAATCATATCGAATTCAAAACCCAGAGATTTGTTTGCCTTTTCACGGAATAAATTCCAACTCTCAGTTTGATCTAACAGTTGTGCTTGATGAGAAAAGTCATTATTAGAGCCGATACTAGTAGCCACCTTTGCAAAGCGAGTAGTCAACAATACTCGACTGCCATTTGCATTATCTGAAAAGCAAGCTTTGATAGAATCCCAAGCATCAACGCTCCAAACGTCATCTATCACAACAAAGTATCTTTGATGCAACAGATTTTGGTATAGTTGTTCAGCTAGCTGATCCTCTTGAGTGCTGCTATCCACTACAACCCCCATTGATTTAAGAAGATCTGTGAGCATTTGTAACTTATTATGATACTGTGATGCAACAACCCAAGCTCGCTTGTCAAAGTGGAAGGCAATTGATGAATCTTCATAAACTTGTCTGGCTAAAGTTGTCTTACCGATACCTCCCATACCTTGAATGGAGACAATTTCTCGTTGCCTGGATGAGTGCTGAATTAGCATCGCCTTTACAGTGTGGAACTCATTGTTTTTCCCCACCATATTTATGCTGCCGTGCAGGGGCTGGGAGGAATCCCCTGCCATCATCATGACATCAACTCCTCCATCACTAGTTGTTTTCCTTCCAATTCCTTGCAAGGCGGCTGCAACACACTCCATCTTCACTTTGGACAACTCTTTGTGGATGGCATCAATGTCTCTTATTGCTCCTTCCAAAATACAACCAAGTTTGAATGAATGCCAAGTTTCCCCTTGTGGTTTCTCCCCAAAAAGATCTGCAATTCCCAAGTCCTCTTCTTCTTCTTCTTCTTCTTCTTCTTCTTCTTCATCTTCTTCTTCTTCTTCTTCCTCTTCTTCCTCTTCCTCTTCCTCTTCCTCATAAAGATGTAAGATTTGGAATTCAATTTCATCTTCTACTCGGAAAGCCACATCTCTGAGCTTAGTTTCCAAGTCTTTAATAGCTTGGATATCATCCATCCTGTTCTCATCCAACAGCTCTATCAGATCACCAAGCTTCTGGTGGAGATCTTGGATCAACTTTTCATTGGCAGGGATGAGTTGGTTTTGTCGTACGATAGGGCGAGGCAGAGGTTGCAAGAACTCAAGCTCAATGGTCCTCACAAGAGAATTTACAGCAACACAAGCCATTCTTCAATTCTTCTCTGATCTGAGTTTCTTCTCACTTAGTATGTGTGTGTGTATAGTAATTATCATCAATTGGCAATTTGCCTTGTGACTCTAAGTGCAATAATTGCAAGATGGAAAGCAATTCTAATTGCAAGAGGGTGGCAGCACTGACTTTAATTTTATGTTTAAAAAATTCTGCAACTTGTAAAGATCAATGTTAGATAGATAATGAAAGCATACATGATATTGGTGGAGAGATTGGATCAACTCCTCATTGCCAATAATCAATCACATTAGCAGCTATCTGCAATAAGGTTTATTATATTCTAATCACAGAAATAAAGATATATAAACAATCACTTAGTGGCAAACATAGCGTTGTAGTGCACATACCTTTGATTTTCTTTTTAATTCTGCCCATTTGATTGCCCTAGTGCAAAGCTACTCCACTATCTTGTGGAGTGCATGTGATTTTCCAGTAATTTGCAAATATTGATTTAAATATTCATGAGAAAGTAAAAAGTATAGATACGGTGGGTATAGCTTGTTCTTTAATTATTAGAAGTGCTTTTACTTGTCATTTAATTAACTTTTCAAAGAGCTTTATTAGTAGTTTTGTCTTTTATTTTTGTAGTATAGTTTGTTAATTGGTTGTGTAAAAAATATATAGCTTTCTCATTGAATTGAGAATACATAATCATAATTTTATGCCTGAAGCATTTTTCTTGGGCTGTTGATTGAGATAAAGACTGAATGTTGGTTCACAACAATTTTATCAACTGCATTCTTGTAATAACCTAACGGCATTGGAACTAGAAAATAAAAAAAAAATTTAAAAAAAAAAACAAAAAAACAAAAAACGAAAAAACCAATCACCAATCTATACTAGAAAACCAAAACAACAAAACGGGCCTCCCCAAAACTAACAGCCATAAACGTAATAAACAGAACTGCACACGCCATAACACACACATGCACACAATCACGCAACACAGCTTAACCAAACCGCAAAAAATAAATAAATAAAAATTTATCAACTGCATTCTTGTAATAACCTAACCTTTACTGAAAATGATATGATGCTTCTTTTTTTATTTATCTCTTCCTTCACTATCTTATTCTATAGGCTTCAGAGTGGTTTAGTTTTCTGCACTTCTTTTTACTTAATTCTCAAATTTGTCTTCAGGCCCAGTTGAGCAGAAATTGCCATCTCTTTACCTTCTTGACAATATTGTAAATTAAAGAATATAAGCAGGGAATTGAATATATAAGGCACTTCTCTGCCCGTTTGCCTGAGGTGAGTATTTTAAATCATGTTCATTGACAGCTCTATTTGATAGATAGTTACACTCTTTTAAGATCAGTATGATATGTGTATACCCTTAGGTGTTTTGTGAGGCCTACACACAAGTCCAGCCCAACAGACGAAAACATACCTCCATGCACACGTCACCGATCCCTTCAGGATTCATCCATTCCCAGCCTATAAAAAAAAACAGTAGCCCCAAGTCTACGACATATTCTATCCGAATTTTTCCCAACAGTTAAAAGCAAAAATTCTATTCTTTTTATTATTTCGGATATGATGTCGAGCTTCGTACCTAATCCTGCATCTGACCTTGCCAAGCTTCAACCTCTTGAATGGCATCAATGTCTCTTATTGCTTCTTCCAAAATACAACCAAGTTTGAACGAATACCCTTGTGGTTTCTCCCCAAAAAGATCTGCAATTCCCAAGTCTTCGTTTTCTTCCTCATAAAGATGTACGATTTGGAATTCAATTTCATCTTCTACTCTGAAAGCCACATCTCTGAGCTTAGTTTCCAAGTGTTTAATAGCTTGGATACCATCCATCCGGTTCTCATCGAACAGCTCTATCAGATCACCAAGTTTCTGGTGGAGATTTTGGATCAACTTTTCATTGGTAGGGATGAGTTGCTTTCGTCGTACGATTGGGCGTGGCAGAGGTTGCAAGAACTCAAGCTCAATCGTCCTCACAAGAGAATTAACAGCAACACAAGCCATTCTTCAATTCTCAATCACTTAGTATGTATGTATGTATGTATGTATGTAGTGTGTATAGTAATGTAATGTCTGGGTGAAGAATTGAAGCTTAATCAGCAGAAGCGATAATATGAAGTACGGAGTAGCAATTATATTGCTGTGTAGCTTTGGTCAGTGGAAGTGCAATAATTGGAAGACGACAGAACACTTTTTTTATAGACTTAATTAGCTGCTACCCACTTCCGGTTGTCGGCAACACTACTTTTTTGTTTTGTTTTGTTTTTTTTTTTTTTTTTTTTTTTTTTAATCTTAACACAACTTTTTTATTTTACTATACAAGAGTATGCATAAGGTAAATGTTATCTAATCAATAAAAATTCATAATAAGGGTAATAGTTCACTATTGTTTCGGTTAAAAGTCAAATTTACAACATTGTAATTATCAAATTAACTAACTCGAAAACATTGCTGAAATTCAGCTATATATAGTAATTTTTTTGTCAATGGTTTCAAGGGTAGTGAGTGGAGGATAAAGGAACATAAGGGTAGGTCTGAGCATCGGTCAGTTTTCGGTTAATAACTAAACCTTCATAATCAAGTGAAAATTGACTGACCAATTACAATATTTGATATAACCGATACTGACGATTTTTGGTCAGTTTCAATTGGTTAAATGTAATTGATTTTTTTTTTCTTTTTGTAAAATAGCTAAACTTATTTGATTAATGCTAAAGGACTACATTATTAAATACAATATCTTAGTATTTATAATCCACTAAAATTAATGTCCTCATACAATAGTAGTTAAGTGGAATAAAAATTGACTATATTTATACATTATATCATTAATAAATGCAATGCAATGATTTTCAAAAAAAAAAAAAAAATGCAATGCAATGCAATGCAATCCAATAGGTCATTAAAAACAAGTGATGTTAGCTACTCCAATGTTGTTATAAAGACTGCCATCTTGCATTGTATGTGTTTTATCTTTCTTCTTATTATCTCTCTGTTCTCAATACATGCCCTTGACTTTTCTTTTTTTTTTTTATTATATGAAATGAAAATATTTCACCACTGTACTCTAAGTTTGCTAAATATACTTATGCAAATAGATGTATTTAACAAATTTTACATTAGTTTTTTTTCTTTTTTACTTATATATTGATTTTAAGTTTGAATTATAAAAACATACATTAACTTTGTAGGTTAAGAGTCTCTATTTTTTTCCTATACATCCTAGGCTCATAAAATGATAAGAATAACCGCCTAACCCAACCAAAACATGTTGGACCTAGCTACCTTCAATGTGGACCTAGCTTCATAAAATGATAAGATTAATTGGCAAATTATGCCCTGGATCCGTGTCCACAATTCATTGTGGACACGGGCCCAAAACGACGTCGTTTTTCAAAAAAAAAAAACGCGTCATTTAGTTTAAAAAAAAAATGCGCGCGTTTTGCCATTAACGGCGTTATTTTTTTTTGGATTATGAATGTACAGTTATGCCGTTATGAATGTACAGTTATGCAATTATAAACACAGAGCTCTAACATTATGAACTTACAATTATGAACATGTAGTGATAAAATTATGACCATTGAGCTTTAAAATTGTGAATATAGAGCTAATGTACAGTTATGGAGTTATGAATGTACAGTTATAGAGTTATGAATGTACAGTTATAGAGTTATGAATCTACAGTTATGGAGTTATGAATCTACAGCTATGAGATTATGAATCTACAGTTATGGAATTATGAATGTACAGTTATTGATCGAATTATGAACAAAGAGCTCTGACATTATGAACATATAGTGATAAAATTATGAACATAGAGCTCTAAAATTGTGAACATAGAGCTTCGAAAATTATGAATGTACAGTTATGGAGTTATGAATGTACAGTTATGGAGTTATGAATGTACAGTTATGGAGTTATGAATGTACAGTTATAAAGTTATGAATGTACAGTTACGGAGTTATGAATGTACAATTAGTAACATATAGTAATAAAATTATGAACATATACTCCTATAACGAAGCGGTCTGAAATTATAAAAAAAAAAAAAAAAAAAAAAAGGAGATAACAGTGCCTAACGGCACTGTTACCCGTGTCCAGCGTGCATGCTGGACACGGGTCCAACGCATAACGATTGAGATTAATTATGCTTGGCCTCATTTCCTAACTTTGTATGTTTAGGGCCTTTTTTTTTCCGTCTATATATCTTGGATAATCAACTTATAAATTGATCAGACTGACTCAAACCCAACCAAAACATGTTCGACCTACCTTCAATGTGGATTATTGTACTTTGTGATTAACTTCCTGTGACCTCATTTCCTAACACCCTCCAAGGAACATATCTAATTCCGTATATTATAATTTGAAACTCTATAAAAATCTCTTATGATTTGAACACTACTCATTTGCAGGAAAAGACACAATTACTTGTGTTATGATGACTGAAATTAACATGATTATGCAAAATATACGGTGATGAAACAGAGAATGTGTAACTATATATATGGAGACGGTTTGTCATATAATATGCTATATGAATGAGAAAGAAATGTATTTAGTTAAGAAAAAGTAGTTAACAAAGAAATATTATTGTCTGAGAAGTAGACAACAGATTTTGAAGGAAGGTTCCAACTACTAAAATACAACAATAATAATAATAATATTTGAAGTCTCAACAGTTTGCTGAATATAAATAGCAGATTAGTGGAAGAATTGAAATGCCCAAATTAAATATCACACACCACACTGAAATGCCCAAATGCCACACTGAGTATATATGTTATTCACATCAATTTTGGCCGTCTTAGATCGAACATCCCCGCATCTGTCACGTAATTATATATTGAGATATGATGAAACTCTATATATAATGAGAGAAATAAAAAAGGCAATAGCAAAAGGGTAAAGGAGAGAGATGAACCTCTTTTATTGTGCATTTCTCAATGACAACCATATTATCATTTCCTTGCTCATGTTGCTCTCTTTGAATCTCCTTGGCAGAATCCACCGCAGAATGAAGACATCCATACAATTCGATTGACTTCAAGTTTGGGATTTCTGCAAACTCAACTGGGATCTTTTCTAAACTTCTGCAATATTGAAGGACCCTTCAGGCACTCAAGATTCGGAAAATGACAAGCACTTGCTTCCCAACGCTCAAGATTACTCCTACTAATTTCCAAATAAATTAAGTGGTCAAAACTCTCCTTTTCGAGTAGTTCCCACTCTCCACCAATCCACTTACACTTCCTTAGCAGTAGCACCTCAAGTTTAGGCAACTTGCTAAACATATTAATTGTCTTCCCCTCAAAGCTCACACAATAAAATCTCAACTTCATAAGATTTTTCAAGCTAACAATGCAGTTGTGATTTGGAATCAGCTGAAATGTACGCCCACAACAAAGAAGAAACAGACTCTGGAGTTGGTGTAAATAGGCAATGTTATTCATGCAATCATTCCAACCTCCTACATAATAAATCATTACGTTCTCTACGTATGGAATACTGGTAAAAAATTCTTTTGTGCACTGATCAACTCTCAACATACCAATGCTCTTCAAGTTTTGATGAAAACATATGGTAAAATCCCTCAGAGGTCTGTCACTATAAAAATGTTGTAGTTGTGGGAACTCTAAAAGGCTCATTTTATCAATACGATCAACTGAAAGTGTTTGAAGATTCCAACTACGAAATGGATCTAAAATGGTAAAAGCTCCTGACAATGACAATACGCATCTCAAATGGAAAAGATAAGCCATCTCACACTCCCCAGTATTATAGAGTACTCTTAATAAGGGGCTAATTTTTGAATTTAAAGATGTATACCGTCCGGAAAAATGGAAGATGGATCGACAGTTTATTGAAGAAGAATATAATGTTTGTTTGTTTAACCTTTTTGATTGGATGCTTACCCATCGGAAATCTTTCAGAGGGGAATTGGACTCACTTTCATTGACAACATGCAGAAGGTTCTCTTTTTTGGCTTCCCTCACACAAAAAGAATGCAATATATCGTGCATTCTAAATGCCTTTACTTTTCTTCCACAGCTGCTTGGCTGACTTACAAGAATTAAGTTCCTACCCTTGAGTTCTTGAATGTGCCTTCTAGCCACCGCATCAAACCTCATATCCTTAGATGCCTTTACAAGTCCTTCGGCAACCCATAACTTTACAACATCTTTAACAGGGATCTCGTTATCTTCTGGAAATATGCTCAAATATAAAAAACAAGCCTTCAAACTGTGAGGCAAGTGATTGTAACTGGACGAGAGTATCCTTGAGCATTCTTCATCAATTGTTGTTATTGCAGATGAATTTAGAGCTTCTGCGACATTCTTCCACTCGTCTAGCGTATGAAGTTTGGAAAATAAACCTGCAGCAACAACAATTGCCAAAGGCAATCCTTTGCATTTGTCAACAATCTGTCTCCTAATCGTATCGAATTCAGAACCCAGAGATTTGCTTGTCTTTTCATGAAATAGATTCCAACTCTCACATTCTTCTAACAATTGCATTTGATGCGAAAAGTCATTGTTAGAGCCTATAATAGTAGCCACATCTGAAGAGCGAGTAGTCAACAAAACTCGACTGCCATTTCCATTATCTGGAAAGCAAGCTTTGACAGACTCCCAGGCCTCGACACTCCAAATGTCATCTATCACAACAAAGTATCTTTGATGCATCAGATTTTGGTATAGTTTTTCAGCTAGCTGATCCTCTTGAGCGCCACAATCTACACAAACCCCCATTGATTCAACAAGATCTTTGACCAGTTGTAACTTATTATGATATTGTGATGCAACAGCCCATGCTCGCTTGTCAAAGTGGGAGGTAATTGATGGATCTTTATAAACTCGTCTAGCTAATGTTGTCTTGCCAATGCCTCCCATACCTTTAATGGAGACAATTTCCCGTCGCCTTGATGAATGCTGAATTAGCATCTCCTTTACAATGTGGAACTCATTGTTTTTCCCCACCATAATATTTATGCTGCCCTGCTGGGGCTGGGAGTGTGAAGCGTGTTGGTGATGGGAGGAATCCCCCGCCATCATCTTGACATCAACTCCTCCATCACTACAACATGCTGTAGTTGTTGTTTTCCTTCCAATTCCAATTCCAATTCCAATTCCAATTCCTTGCAAGGCGGCTGCTGCGACATACTCCATCTTCACTTTGGACAACTCTTTGTGGATGGCATCAATGTCTCTTATTGCTTCTTCCAAAATACAACCAAGTTTGAAAGAATGCCAAGTTTCTCCTTTGTGGTTTTTCCACAAATAGATCTGCAGCAATTCCCAAGTCGTCATTTTCTTCTGCATCATAAGTCCTCTGTGGTTTTTCCCCCAAAAGACCTGCTATTGCTGCTAATAACTCTTCCTCTTCCTCTTCCTCATAAAGATGTACGATTTGGAATTCAATTTCATCTTCCACTCGGAAAGCCACATCTCTGAGCTTAGTTTCTAAGTCTTTAATAGCTTGGATACCATCCATCCTGTTCTCATCGAACAGTTCTATCAGATAACCAAGCATCTGGTGGAGATTTTGGATCAACTTTTCATTGCCAGGGATGAGTTGCTTTTGTCTTACGATTGGGCGAGGCAGAGGTTGCAAGAACTCAAGCTCAATCGTCCTCACAAGAGAATTTACAGCAACACAAGCCATTCTTCAATCCTTCTCTGATTTGAGTTTCTTCTCACTTTGTATGTGTGTGTGTATAGTAATTATCATCAATTGGCAATTTTCCTTATGGCTCTAAATGCAGTAATTGGAAGACGGAAAGCATTTTTTATTGCAAGAGGCTGGCAGCACTAACTTTTAGTATTTTTATGTTAAAAATTCTGCAACTTAATTGTAAAGATAGATAATGACAGCATATATACATGATATTGTTTAATGCTAAGTGGGAATCTTACAGCTCAAATCTATATATGTTGTTTTATTTTATTCTGAATGTGTTCATCAAAGCCAAGTACAGGAACCTTACATGTAGTGCTGAAAGAGGTTTGAAATGGTACAAGTAACATTCATTCAGATTTGAGACAAGTTGGGATAGTTCTAAAGTTATTCGGGTTCAAGTTGGGGAAGAAGGATTTTACACTATATTCTCCACTCATCCGATCCGATCCTTATATTCAATTTCATCTTCTACTCTGAAAGCCACATCTATGAACTTAGTTACCAAGTCTTTTATGGCTTGGATACTACCATCCATTCTGTTCCCATCCAACTGTCCTATTAGGAAACCAAGCTTTTGGGGGAGAGATTGGATCAACTCCTCATTGCCAATAATCAATCACATTATATTAGTCTAGATTAACATTAGCCTATAGTGAAATTATAGAGTCGGAAAGCGAAATTGTGTAGCAGAACTTGAATCTATACTAAATGCCTGCAATTAAGTTCTCTACTTAAGATCATTGAAATCTTTTAATAATGTAAAACGCATGCTTGTTTAGGAATGAGAATGGAAGTTGGTGCTCCTTTGCAAGGTTGTTCAGTTCAAATGAGTAAAAGAGAAAAGGAATGAGAATGGCAGTCAACAAAGATGATGTTTTTCTCAATCCAAAAAAACATTAGCAGCTATTTGCGATATTGGTGATTAGAAGATAAAGATAACATTTTAGCAGCTATCTGCAATAAGGTTTATTATATTCTAATCACACAAATAAAGATATATAAACAATCACTTAGTGGCAAACATAGTGTTGTAGTGCACATACCTTTGATTGCAATAGTGCAAAGCTACTCCTTCACTATCTTGTGAAGTGCATGTGATTTTCCAGTAATTTGCAAATATTGATTTAAATATTCATGAGAAAGTAAAAATTAGTATAGATATGGTGGGTATATATAGCTTGTTCTTTAATTATTAGAAGTGCTTTACTTGTTATTTAATTAACTTTTCAAAGTGCTTTATTAGTAGTTTTGTCATTTATTTTTGTAGTATAGTTTGTTAATTGATTGTGTAAAAAATATATAGCTTTCTCATTGAATTGAGAATACATAATCATAATTTTAGGCCTGAAGCATTTTTCTTGGGCTTGGGCTGTTGATTGATTGAGATAAGACTGAATGTTGGTTCACAAATCACAACAATTTTATCAACTGCATTCTTGTAATAACCTAACCTTTACTGAAAATGATGCTTCTTTTTTTATTTATCTTTTCCTTCACTATCTTATTCTATAGGCTTCAGAGTGGTTTAGTTTTCTGCACTTCTTTTTACTTAATTCTCAAATTTGTCTTCAGGCCCCAGTTGAGCAGAAATTGTCATCTCTTTACCTTCTTGACAATATTGTAAATTAAAGAATATAGGCAGGGAATATATAGGGCACTTCTCTGCCCGTTTGCCTGAGGTGAGTATTTTAAATCATGTTCATTGACAGCTCTATTTGATAGATAGTTACACTCTTTTAAGATCAGTATGATATGCGTAATACCCTTAGGTATTTTGTGAGGCCTACAAACAAGTCCACCCCAACAGATGAAAACATACCTCCATGCTTCGGGAAAAAGGAAGAACAATAGTGAATGTTAGGAAAGTGAAGAGAGAGAATTTTTAATGGGCTGTCATATATTGTCTCAAACTGTTTTAGAAATAAATATTAGAAGATTACATATATAGGAAACACGTTTCCATATACCCTACCTTCCTAAATCCTTAAGACTGCCTAATCTATAGGGATTCTATATATCAAATATATATTCTATATTCCATAATACTCCCCCTCAAGTTGGAACATCTATTTTAATAACGCCCAACTTGTTACACAAATGAGTGATAACCCAAAATAACTAAATAACAAATAACTCAAGTTCATTTAGGACACTCCTTTGAAACGAAAGCTTTAAACGCCACGAATCTCACAAACAGAAAATTCCAATTGTTGACAAAGGAGAATATACAATCCTACCAAAATTAGAACACCTAAAACCAAGCATAATATATCCATACATTATCATACTAAAATAAAAAGCTGTCAAAATTACACAACCTGATCCTCTTGAGTGCCACTACCTACACAGCCTGTTGATTTAAGAAGATCTGTGAGCATTTGTAACTTATTATGATATTGTGAGGCAACAACCCAAGCTCGGATGTCAAAGCGGGAGGCAATTGATGAATCTTCATAAACTTGTCGAGCTAAGGTTGTCTTGCCAATGCCTCCATACCTTGAATGGAGACAATTTCCCGTTGCCTTGATGAATGCTGAATTAGCATTCCCTTTACAATGTGAACTCGTTGTTTTTCCCCACCATAATATTTATGCTGCCCTGCTGGGGCTGGGAGTGTGAAGCGTGTTGGTGATGGGAGGAATCCCCCGCCATCATCATTACATCACTACAACATGTGGTAGAAGCTGCAGCTGCGGCAACTACTATAGGCTGCCTGTGAACTCATTTCCTAACACCCCCCCTAAGGAACATAGCTAATTCCATATATTATAATTTGACACTTGACAAGAGTCTCTTATCATTATTTGAACACTCATTTGCAGGAAAAGAGACAATTACTTGTGTTATGATGACTGAAATTGATAAGATTATGCAAAATATATGGTGATCAAACAGAGAATGTGTAACTATATATATGGAGACCGTGTGTCATATAATATGCTATAATATGAATGAGAAAGAAAAGTATTTAGTTAAGAAAAAGAAATATTATTGTCTGAGAAGTAGACAACAAATTTTGAAGGAAGGTTCAATTCCAACTTCCAACTACTAAAATACAATAATAATATTTGAAGTCTCAACAGTTTGGTGAATATAAATAGCAGATTAATGGAAGAATTCAAATGCCCAAATATCACACACCGCATTGAAATGCCCAAATGCCACACTGAGTATACATCAATTTTGGCCGTCTGATATGATCTTGAGAACATGCCCGCATCTGTCATGTAATTATATAAATATATATTCAAATTAAAGTAAACATTAAACATGTAAAACAAAGTAAAACATCAAACCAAGAAGACAGAATTAAACAAATAACTGTGACATATGAATGAAATAATTAAATGAAGAAGCTAATGAGGATATATATAGAGAGAGGTTATAAACTGTAAACATACGTACCCTTTTTTACTTTTATTCAACTACTATGGCTCAAGTTCATCATTAGAATGAGTCACTGAAAACAAATTATACATTAGGATTCGATGAAACTCTATAATGAGAGTGAAATAAAAAAGGCAATAGCAAAAGGGTAAAGGAGAGAGATGGACCTCTTTTGTGCATTCTTCAATGACAACCATATTATCATTTCCTTGCTCATGCTGCTCTCTTTGAATTTCCTTGGCAGAATCCACTGCAAACTGAAGACACCCATACAATTTGATTGACTTCAAGTTTGGAATTTCTGCAAACTCATATGGGATCTTTTCCAATTTTTGGCAGCGCGAAAGGCATAGACACTCAAGTTTCGGAAAATTAGAAGCACTTGCTTCCCAACGCTCAAGATTACTCATACAAATATGCAAATAAATTAACTGGTCAAAACTCTCATTTTCGAGTAGTTCCCACTCTCTACCGATCCATTTACACTCTTTTAGCATTAGCACCTCAAGTTTAGGCAACTTGCTAAAAATGTTAAATGTCTTCCCCTCAAAGCACACACGCCTAAACTTCAACTTCATAAGATTTTTAGAGCTAACAATGCAGTTGTTATTTGGAATCAGCACATGCACATTACCAAAAAGTGTCAGACTGTGGAGTTGGTGTAAATAGGCAATGTTATTAATGCGATCATTCCAGCCAAACTTACAATGAATGATTACTTTCTCTACATATGGAATACTGGTAAAAAATTCTTTTGTGCAGTGATAAACTCTCAACATACCAATGCTCTTCAAGTTTTTATGAAAACATATGGGAAAATCACTCAGAGGGATGTTACAATGCAAATGTTGTAGTTGTGGGAACTCTAAAACGCTCATTTTATCAATACTTCTAACTGAAAGTGTTTGAAGATTCCAACAACAAAATGGATCTGAAATGACTAAAGCTCTCAGGGGTGCCGGCCGTGCCAGTGGTTCCAATAGGAATCTCAAATGGACAAGATACTTTAGATCTATATTACTGGCAATATTATAGACTACTCTTATTAGGCGGCCAAATTTCCAATTTAAAAATATATGAAGCCTGTCAAAAAGGGAGTCAAAAACGAAGATGGATCGACAACTTTTTAAAGAAGAATATAATGTTTGTCTGTTAAACCTTTCTGATTGTATGCTTACCCATCGGAAATATTTAGGGGGGGAACTAGACTCATTCTCATATACAACATGCAGAAGGTTTTCCTTTTTAGCTTCCCTCACACAAAAAGAATGCAATAAATCATGCATTTTAAATACCTTTACTTTTCTTCCACAACTACTTGTCCGACTCACAAGAATTAGGTTCCTATCCTTGAGTTCTTGAATGTGCTTTCTTGCCACCGCATCAAAGCTCATATCCTTAGATGCCTTTACAAGTCCTTCGACAACCCATAACTTTACAACAGTTTTAACACGAATCTCTTCATCTTCTGGAAATATGCTCAAATATAAAAAACAGGCCTTCAAACTGTGAGGCAAGTGATTGTAACTGGATGAGAGTATCCTTGAGCATTCTTCATCAATTGTTGTTGTTGCACCTGAATTTAAAACTTGTGCAACATTCTTACACTCATCTAGCGTATGAAGTTTGGAAAATAAACCTGCAGCTACAACAATTGCCAGAGGCAATCCTTTGCATTTCTCAACAATGGGTCTCCCAATTGCCTCAAACTCAGCATAGCCAGATTTGCTTGTCTTTTCACGAAATAAATTCCAACTCTCAGTTTGATCTAACAATTGCTTTTGATGAGAAAAGTTATTATTAGAGCCAATACTAGTAGCCACCTTTGCAAAGCGAGTAGTCAACAATACTCGACTGCCATTTGCATTATCAGGAAAGCAAGCTTTGACAGAATTCCAGGCATCAACGCTCCAAATGTCATCTATCACAACAAAGTACCTTTGATGCATCAGATTTTGGTATAGTTGTTGTGCTAGCTGATCCTCTTGAGTGTCACTACCTACACAACCCATTGATTTAAGAAGATCTGTGAGCATTTGTAACTTATTGTGATATTGTGAGACAACAACCCAAGCTCGAATGTCGAAGCGGGAGGCAACGTATGGATCTTCGTAAACTCGTCTAGCTAAGGTTGTCTTGCCCATACCTCCCATACCTTGAATGGAGACAATTTCCCGTTGCCTTGATGAATGCTGAATTAGCATCGCCTTTACAATGTGGAACTCATTGTTTTTCCCCACCATTATGCTGTCGTGCAGGGGCTGGGAGTGTGAAGCGTGTTGGTGATGAGAGGAATCCCCCGCCATCATCATCACATCACTACAACATGTGGTAGAAGCTGCAACTGCGGCACGCTGCAGATACTCCATCTTCACTTTGGACAACTCTTTGTGGATGCCATCAATGTCTCTTATTGCTCCTTTCAAAATACAACCAAGTTCCAAAGAATGCCAAGTTTCTCCTTGTGGTTTTCCCACAAAAAGATCTGCAGCAATTCCCAAGTTGTCTTCTTCTTTTGCATCATTAGTACTCTCTGGTATTTCCACAAAAAGACCTGCTATTCCTGCAAGTAACTCTTCCTTTTCCTCTATCTCATAAAGATGTAGGATTTGGAATTCAATTTCATCTTCCACTCGAAAAGCCACATCTCTGAGCTTAGTTTCCAAGTATTTAATAGCTTGGATATCATCCATCCGGTTCTCATCGAACAGCTCTATCAGATCACCAAGTTTCTGGTGGAGATTTTGGATCAACTTTTCATTGCCAGAGATGAGTTGCTTTTGTTGTACGATTGGGCGAGGCAGAGGTTGCAAGAACTCAAGCTCAATGGTCCTCACAAGAGAATTAACAGCAACACAAGCCATTCTTCAATTCTCGATCACTTAGTATGTATGTATGTAGTGTGTATAGTAATGTAATGTAATGTTTGGGTGAAGAATTAATCAGCCGAAGTAGAAGCGATAATATGAAGTAGCTAGCAATTGCTGTGTAGCTCTGGTCAGTGGAAGTGCATTAATTAGCTGCTGGTTGTCGGCAACACTACTTCTTTATTTTATTTTGAGTAAATACCCAAAATGGTTCCTCACTATAGCTAAATTCACAAATTGGTCATCAACTTTCAATTTTAACTAATTAAGTTCTTAATTTTACAATTTTAACACAATTTGGTCCTCTGTCTATTTGACCGTTTGTTGACTGTGATTTTTTAGGATATATATGTAATTTCATGGTCCATCGTCGGGTTTTTAAGGTTCTGGTTGCATTTTCAGACCGCATTATTACATTTTAATCCACTGCCGAAAGCAATCTATCAAATCCGATCGCCTTTCTTCATCCTCCCTTTAAATTCAATGTAGTTGAGTTCGTACCAGAGCGAAGAAGACGACTTGTTTCCGAACCGGTGCAACGTCATCCTGGAGGCCTCCACGTGTTCCGACGAGAGCTGAAGGTTCTTCTGGAGATCGTCGATCACGGTCAACAAATGGTCAAATAGATGGAGGACCAAATCGTGTCAAAATTGCAAAGTTAAGGACTTAATTGGTTGAAATTGAAAGTCGAAAATCAATTTGTGAATTTAGCTATAGTCGAGGGACCATTTTAAGTATTTACTCATTTATTTTTTATTTTACTATACAAAAGTATGCATAAGATAAATGTTATCTTGTAATCTTAATCAGTATAAAATCATAACCACCAACCAACCTCATAATCAATATAATCGAAATTAACAATTTTTGATCGGTTAAATATAACTAATTTTTTTAGTAAAATAATTAAATTTCTTTTATTTATTATGTGTGTGTAATTGTGTTTTTGAATTTGCCTTATGCCTCTAAGTGCAATAATTGCAAGACGTAAAGCATTTTTAATTATATTGAAAGAGGCCGGGCAGCACTAACTTTTAGTATTTTATGTTAAAAATTCTTCAACTTGTAATGATTAAAGTTAGATAGATAATGACAACATGATATTGTTTAATGCTAAGTGGGAATCTTAGCTAGCATTAAAGTAAAAAGTGCAAATTAAAGCTACTCCACTGTCTTAGCTTGTGAAGTGCATGTGATTTTCCTGTAATTTTCAAACACTGATTTAAATTTAAATATACCTGAGAAAGTAAAAAGTACAGATGTGGTGGGTATAGCTTGTTCTTTATTAGAAGTTCTTTACTTTGTCATTTAATTAATTTTTCAGAGTGATTTATTAGTAGTTTTGTCTTTTATTTTTGTAGTATAGCTTGTTAATTGGTTGTGTAAAAAATATATAACTTTCTCATTGAATTAAGAATACATCATCTTGTCAACTAGTATTAAAAGATGAGAGACTGTCTAGTGTTTTATTAAGAATACATTATAAACCTTGTATTGTCATTTATAATATATTTTATATTTAAACAATCTTATTCCGATTGCATGACGGTGTACACCAATCTATTGAAGGGCAGGGTGGACCGGCGCGATCATAGGTTGGTATGATTATATGTGATTGTATACGATTGTTAGGTTCTTTAACAGGTTGTGTGGTAGAGCAAACTCGTAGTATTATATGCATCATGAATTTGGGAAATAAAGTTTAGGGCATGTATTCATATAAGAGTCAAGTGTAGCGAAAATTTAACTGCTTCTTAGGAAAACACAGCAGTAAATAATTTTGACCTTGATCCCCCTGGAAACTGGAAAGAAAGGGGTGCAGCAGCAGATGATTCTTCAATATCTCAGCAACTACTGTTGTTCCAGTGAATTTGGGTATTTCTTTGGTCATTAAATTGGTTCATAATCATAATTATATGCCTGAAGCATTTTTCTTGGGCTGTTGATTGAGATAAGACTGGAATATATGTTGGTTCACAACAATTTTATCAACATTCTTGACCTTCAAGGACCTAGAGCTCTGATTTATGCATATGGAATAGATGAAAGGGAAAAAACATTTAATTATGATCATCATAAGCTTGGTCAGCCAGATGCAAATGGTATCGGCAAAAGGGTAGGTGTTAAAACATGGCAAAATACTGAAGAGGAAGAATTTAATTGGGAAGACATCTTGGAGATCCTAGTCGGAGTAACATTTTTCAGAATTTAACACATAAATACATACATTAAGGGGAGGCGAAAGTCACGAAATACCACACACTCGAACTAACGTGAGAACCTAAAGCCCGTGTCAAAACATGAGTATAATGATTTGCTGATTTGCGAACATGACAGAATTAAAATGTTCCCAATAGTAGAATCTAAAGTGGGCAATGACTAAACCTGAATAAAAATAATCATGAGAAACATTACCAAAAGTTAAAATTGTGTATCTGAGCTCTAAAATGACGTTATTAATACATCTTCATTTAAGCCATGATAAAGCCTCGCAACAAGCAATAATTTAGGCTAAACTAGTAATTCACCCGCGCGATGCACGGGGAAAAATTATGTTATTATAAATATAAATAAAAAAGTTTAGAAAAAATAAAAATATTTTAAATTGTTTAATATAATAATATTTTTGAGCTTCCATTGGTCAAGTATTTATTATTTTTATAGAATACAAAATTATAATTAAAATTTTGTATGGTTAATATAATCTCTAATTATGTACATATTCAAATAAACTTATAGAGAGAATTTACATAATTACACTGATTTATTCTTAATTGTATTTCATCTATATTATAATTTTCACAATACGAATAATAACTAAGATAATTACATTTAGAAAGCAAATTTCAAATTTTGTATGAGTAAATTTAAACTCTAATTTGTTGTAAATATTAATATGGACATTATTATATATATGGTAGTAGTTGTAATTGATAGGTGACTACCTTTTATATGTATTGTTATTACCTTATAATTGGTGATACTTTGTATATGAATTCTACCGATGAATGAGAAACCCCCCCGGCCTTCCTTCCCTGATCTCTCTATTCTCTATTCTGATATTCTTACAACACGTTATCAGCGCTTTGCTCTACATCCGGGTAAACGATCATGTTTTGGCATCAAACTCAAATCCGAAATCGCCCCACACTCGTCGCCATCATCAGGGCAACGATCGACGGACATCCGCGACATTCTGTGTGAGTTACGCCGTAAAAGCGTTGTCCTTTCTCCAGCAGCGATCCGGCGCTTACACACCGGCGGTGATGATTCGACACCGGCCAGAATGATCTCCGACACAGCCTCCACCCATCGCAATCATCATATGGACGATTGGCCATCGTTTGTGATATCTCAAATCGCACCCCAGGTGGCATTGACTTCTGCTTCGACGACGATAATGGCGCAAGGGTAATCGGAGATTGTTGCTAGGCTTCCAGACTCGTCCGTGATCTCTTTAGGGGCCAGCGATCATCATCGCTCATCGTCTGAGATGAGATCGCGGATTGCGGCGACTTCGTAAATCCTCAGTATACTGAATCTCCGGTTTCCTTCCCGCAACGGCTTCGGCGAGAAGCGGCAGACGGCGATCGGAGCGACGGTTGTCATAGATGACACCGGTTTCGTAAATGGCGATCGGATTACGAAGGCGCAGTCAGCTTCTTCCTCCCTGACGCCGGAAAATCGCTCGAAGAGGCGTCACGGCTTCTCCCCGTCCGCGAATCTCCCTTCGCGGCGATCCTGACCAGTCCAGATCGTCAACCCCATCGATCGGAGAGCACCGCGTGAGGCCGGTTTCCCCGCGTGATCCTCGTTCTCTCCGCTCTATTACCAGCAGGCGATCAAGACGAGGGCAGATCGAGGATGATCATTCCCACCGCGCGCCTCAGCCCACCGGCGATCAGTCCTCCTTCCTCTCTCTCAGCCCGCCGGTGGCTATTGGTAGGTGATTTGCATTCAATGTAGGCTGGATATCCGTGCAGAATATATATATACGGAGCGAGGAAAATGGAGTTGGGGCGGTGTCTTGCAATTTGCAACGATTGTCCGAGTCTTGGATTTCTTCAAAAAAAGTATCTCTCCGGCGATAAGATCATTAAATACACAGTGAAAAGCTCTAGATCATCGGTGAACGGTACAGTTTCCTTGAACCCTAATTATTTGCTGGTGCAATGCTATTCAGAGTGAATATATAAATGTTAATTCTGGAAATCTGTGCTGCTCTATTTTCATTGCACTACAATTTATAAGGTTTTGATTAGGATTGCAATTACATAATTGCTCTGCATCCTAATATGAAATTTGCTATAAAGAAAAGGGGATAGAGTAATTGTTTTGAATTATTTTCTTGTCGCCATCTAAGGGGATACAGTTAAAAATGATGATCTTGTATTCTTGGGATACATGAGTATTAATAATCAATTGATCATATTGGTACATTTTCTGTGGACTTGGGAGATGATGATGCCAAATCCGAGATCTTGCTTTGTTGCATTGCTACTTGCAAAGAAAATGTTTACCACAAGAAAGTAATATGACTGCTCTTTGTGCTCAAAATGATATTCCACATTATTTTGGTTCAAAGTTATTTTTTTTTCCTTTCTAAACATGATCTTAATCCATTGATACTCGGTGACCAGTAATTCCACCTGCAAGAAGCTAGTTGGCTGCATGAGTCATAGATCAAATGGTCTATATCTTTTATTTTTTGTGTAAGTTGCATCTTCAAGCTATAATGAGACTGTTTTTACTTCCCAAGATGTTAACTTTTGTATTGTACCTAATGAAACTGGAAGCAATTTCTCTCATAAGCAAACTTGTCCCTATCCATCTTGCAGTACTTCGGATAGAATAATGGACACATTGGAAATTATCCATTTATGAATATGTTATGCCTTTTTGAGAATTGCTTATGTTAATTGATTTGAGTCATTTTTCTATACTGCAATCTGAATTCAAGATTTGAATGTTTTTTGAAGTACAAAAAGGCACATCCCATGGTGTGGGTGCATGCTGTGCCAATGGTATCAAAATATATTCTGAAGTCCTCACTCACCAAATGGATGCCCAGAAGGCACAAGCACTCAATTTGCCTGAAGCAAACTCGATATTGAATGATAATGATGATTGCAGTACGGCTTGAAGATTATGGTGATCATGATGGACATTTTGTCTATTTTATCTTTATATGACGGTTTTAATATTTATGTGACATGTGTATCATGAATATTTAATTTTATTCTCAAGTCATTTTATATTCATTTAAATGCTATGATGATATCTATTATGGGCTCTTGGTATGTTGTTATACTATGTCAACCTATAAACTGGAATGTGGTAAATGACATATTTAAATTTAGAAGAATGATTATCTTTGTAGATAATTCTGACTGTGCATGTATTATTTAAGAGTCCAGTTGATGCCTAGCATTTGAGAGCTTAATTGAAATATATAATGTTGCGACACACTTGCATACATTAATTGTTCAGTGCTGATTAACACATGACAATTACTTTTGTCACAATTTGCTATCTTATGCAATGTGGTTATGCATATATCATAAAAGAAAATGTGGCATAACAATTATTTGCTATAGGCCATATATGTTAAGATTTATTATAAATCTTACTAGAAGCTTTGCCCAGATGGCAAATTAAAGCCATTGATTTATTTACTTATTATACGATAGTCCTTATTAGGATTGTCATGATCAACAAGTGGTTACAACATTAATTTTAAACATAGCATTGCCTAGAAGGCAAATTCATAACACTAGTTATATGTTAATAGCATTGGACAATTTATATGACTAATGTCAAATTGACTTAATTGTGATTTGGAAGTCAATGATTATTTGTCTAAATTCATGCATACTGATGGTACTAGTGCCTATTTTTTTTAATATAGTTTTGCCCAAAAGGTAAACACTAAGAGCACTAATTTTTTTATTTGTCACATTTTGGTCTAAATCCTTAGTTATGAACTCGTGAATGAAGTCTGCAACTTCTATTTTTAATGTTATGCTACTATGCAAAAATGCTATGTGCTTAACAGCCAAAAGTGAGTCACACCATGTTGGTTTGCCTGAAGCAAAAAAAATTGCTAATATTTGATAATATTTCACCATCTAATACTTCTTTTGGCGTTTAATCTCCCTAAGATTGTTGAATGTTTCACTCTTTTTGTTTAATGTGTATGCTTGCCCTATCTGATTTTATATGCCACTTGTGGTAATTTTCATATACATTTGACAACTTATTATGTTGCGATAATCTTTACATTTTGGAGACCCAATTTTTAATTATGGGATGACGAATTGGGTTTCTTAGGGCAAACATAATGAGTTAGATACTACAATTTCTTATCCACACGAGTACTTTATAGAGCATGTGTGAAGAAGAAATTACTGAATTATCTGTTTTGGGGATATACTTTTGTTTAAAATTCAAATCTAACTCACTGCATATCACAAACCAATCCCTCAAGGATTGTTATACCTAGTACATGGTTTCAAAATAAACATTTCCCTATCTGCGTTTTTATTTATAGTGCACAGTCTATTTCAATATATCACCACCACAGCGTACATCTAAAAAGGCTACCAAAGAAGCCTTAGTCTCTTGATTAATTAATGCCAAGAGCATATGATATGAGACTAATATACATATCCTTAGGTACGCTGACTGCATACTTAATTAATGAAGATTGTTTCTCGGCATTAGGGGGAGATAAGAGTTCAAATTTAATAGAATGCCAAGAAATTCCATAGAATAAAAATATCTTCATTATTTTATCCATGTACTAGTTAGACTGAACTGAAAGTTCAGAAGATGATATATTTGTGATATTAGCAAATAATCTGCTAAATACATCTATTGATCATACTGATCATAAAAGAGTGACTAGGTCCATATACCATCCCCAATTTGGACCAAATATATCTATCGATACTCCTTGATGCCAGAACTGTAGGGGATCTATATGTGTAAGAGATAAGAGTCATTATACTAGATCTAGTAAATAAACATTGTCACTCTTGATATACCTTGAATAATTATGTCTTTGAGACGTTCGTCCAGATGACGAAAAACCCTAGTTAGTTTATAGGTGCACCAAACAAACATAATACTAGGGATGCAGGACAACCAGATGTGATCTGAAAAGTTCTGGGAAATGTCTAGAATCTGGTTGACTTGAATATTGCCATAAACTATTATAAATATGGGAGAGATTTATGAAAGTATTATAGTTGTCGACAACACAATAGCCTGTACAAATTGCTCCATTATATGATAATCTGGATCCAGAGTTATGCACCGGAAGTGCCATGACTATTTAACGTATAAAGGAGCAATTAAGGCATAGCTCGACTCGCTAATTATTAATAATTCTCTTTATTACAATACACTGTTGAGAGTTAACCCCGAAGGTTACAAGTGGGTGTGTGCACGAAAGAGAAATAAGAATAATGAGGTGATATGATATAAAGCGAGTTGTAGTCTTATGGGTTCACGCAGATACCCTTGATTGATTTTAATCAAACATATTTTTCCACGATAAATGGCATTAAGTTCCGCTACATCATTGGCAGAATAATAAATTAGATATGCAACTAATATTAAATTCAAAAATCCCCGAAGGATTTTAAGTTCTCAAAATGAGAAAAGTGAAAATCGCACATTAAAATTTTAAGGTCTTTATAGAATTATAGGACCTGAAATAGTTAATAATTGACCGAGTATTTTCCTCTCGAAGAAGGAATATGTATTTACTATGTGCCATTATGTACTCTTTAAAGAGTTGCGAATGGAGTTATTATCCTCATGAAGAAGGAATAATATGTACCATTATGTGCTCGATAAAGGGTTCATAATGAACTTATTTATTCATTATCTCAGTTAATTTTGATAGTGTAAACATCAATGAAATACCTAAACAATTTGATGATATCAGTTCATGTCTAAAGGCGGAGCCCTTTTAATAAAAGGCTAGAAAAATCTAAGTATTATCTTGACTTAAAGATCGAGTTTTTGCTTGAAGAATTTTATACACCAGTTAGCCTATATATGATTTTGATTGGATATTTAGATAAACAAATATATAATGGCTACTTGAGTACTGGCTATTACTTTTGTATCTCCATAATGCCAAGTTTCAAAACTGGTTGTACTATATTTACCCCATTGTCCCATAGAGGGTCAATAAAAGGATATATAATGAAATCCTTTTGACTAGATACTATGATATTAATATTATACCACGTGAACTCCAGAAGAGTCACGAGATTATTATAGAGTATATTTATTCAATTGACAATTGTATATATTTATTTACAAAATTCCTCTATATAATTTGGAAATTTAATGTATGGGATTAAAGATTGTTATCTTGAGGGGGAGTATCATTTTACATGAATCAATCCTGAAGATTGTGTCTTAGATGACTAACGGCTGTACACTTTTCCTTAGTTAAGTTTTTCCCTACGGGTTTTTCTTTAAATCTAAGGTTTTTAATGAGGCAGTTAATCTAAAACAAGAATACACATACATCATGCACTCTTTTCCTCAACTAATTTTTCCCACTGGGTTTTATAGTGAGGTTTTTAATGAGGCATAAGTATGATATAATTATTTAATGGGGAAATGTTGCAAAGCAATTACTTAAGTAGACAAACCCCAAAATCCTGAAGATTATATCGATTATGCCTTGAAGGCTTATGATTGTACTCTTTTTCCCTTAACTAAGTTTTTCCCACATGGTTTTCTTAAGTTAAGGTTTTTAATGAGGCAATCAGTACAAAATATGTTCTTACAAATATCATGTACTCTTTTCTTCAACTAGGTTTTTCCCACGTGGTTTTCCTAGTGAAGTTTTTAACGAGGCATGAATATATACATTTATACTTTTTTGTCTAGGTTTTTCCCATAGGGTTTTCCTAGCAAAATTTTACAAGGCAAGATCATGTCAAATAATGTCCAAGGGGGAGTGTTGTAAATATTAATATGGACATTATTATATATATGGTAGTAGTTGTAATTGATAGGTGACTACCTTTTATATGTATTGTTATTACCTTATAATTGGTGATACCTTTGTATATGAATTCTACCGATGAATGAGAAACCCCCCCGGCCTTCCTTCCCTGATCTCTCTATTCTCTATTATGATATTCTTACAACATAATTGAACATATTTTTTTTATATGATTATATAATATATTCTTTATGCACATCTCATTTCATAAACCCAAATGTCATTTTATAAATCCAAGACCACTTTTTGTGGAGATAATTCAAATATATTTTTTCCTTTTAAGGGTCCATTTGGAAAGCAGAAAAATGACTTTTGGAAAATGTTTCTGGAAAATGAGTCATTTTCCGGAAAATATTTTCCTTTCCAGTGTTTGGTTGCATTCTGGAAAACTGTTTTTGTGTGTTTGGTTCATTTTCTGGAAAATGAGTAGAATTGTATAATTAAACATTTTAATTATTTTATTTAGAATATTACAACATGTATAATAATATATAATAATATAATAATAATTTTAAATATAATAAAAAAATAACTAATAATATATCAAAAATATTATGGTGATGGTGGTGTAGTGGTAGTGGTGTTATTTGTTATATAGTAATAATAATAATAATAATAATAATAATAATAATAATAATAATAATAATAATAATAACTGGTGGTGGTATGACGGTGGTGGCAGTGGTGGTGGTGGTTTCAGTGGTATGGTGGTGGTGGTGGCGGCGACGGTGGTTGCGGTGGTGTGGTGGTGGTGGTGGCGGCGACGGTGGTTGCGGTAGTATGCTGGTGGTGGCAGCGGCGGCGGTGGTGGTGGTGGTAGTGGTGGTGGTGGCTGCGACGGTGGTATGGTGGTGGTGCCGACGGCGGCGGTGGTAGTAGTGGTGGTGGTGTGATGGTGGTGGTGTGGTGGCGGTGTGGTGGCGATGATGTGGTGGCGGTGGTGTGGTGGCGGTGGTGTGGTGGCGGTGGTGGCGGCGACGATGGTTGCGGTGGTATGGTGGTGGTGGTGGTGTGGTGGCGGTGGTTGCAGTGGTATGGTGGTGGTGGTGGCGGCGGCGATGGTGGTTGCGATGGTATGGTGGTGGTGGCGGTGGTGTGATGCTGGTGGTGGTCGCGGCAGCGCTGGTATGGTGGTGGTGGCGGCGACGACGGTGGTTGCGATGGTATGGTGGTGGTGGCGACGACGGTGGTGGTGGCGGTGACGGTGGTATGGTGGTGGTGGTGGCGGCGGCGGCGGTGGTGGTTGTGGTGGTGGTGTGGTGGTGGTGTGGTGGCGGTGGTATGGTGGTGGCGGTGGCGACGACGATGGTTGTGGTGGTATGGTGGTGGTGGTGGTAGCAGCGGTGA